GCCATGAACGCTGTGGTGCACTCGGGGCCCCAGGAGTGGTTCGACCAGAACGCCGTGGATGGCATCTCCACGCTCGTTCAGAAGGTCGTGCGAGGAGTACGTGTGCATCGAGAGCCGCGGCGGCGACTCTATGATCACGACCGTCGCCGGGAGTGCAATCGCCTGTCGGTGATGCTCTCCGCCACGGGCCAGTGCGCCTACAAGGGCGACGGCGCGAGCCGTGCCAACGAGCGCATGGCGGACAGCTGGGTTGGCCTCACGCTCTTCTACCACGACAAGCCGGATGCTCAGGCACAGGGGGTGTGCTACTTGGACACTCCGGATGGTCTTGTACGGCAGCCGCTGACTTACGAGGAGTGGCTCAATGCGTCGTCCGTGTATGACACATGGCTGCAGGAGGCACGGTGCGAGTACGACGTGTTCGCACTCGTGATGAAGCAGAACGCGAAGGAGCTAGACCCGCGCAACTTCGACCAGCACGAGAAGGCTAAGTTCGACGAGGCCGACGCCGCCGAGTGGCGGCAGTGGATCGCCAACGACACGGTCGAGCTGGTCACCGAGGAGGAGGAGAGGAGCATTCCGAAGGACAAAATCATCTCGGTGCCCATGCGTTCGGTTCGCACGAACCGGGGGCGAGGGCCAGAGTTGGAGGCGAAGTCGCGCTTGATTGTCCCTGGCCATCTCGACCCGCAGCTTGGTCTGTTCAGGACGGTTTCGCCTGCCACCTCCCCTTTGGCCGTGCTGGTGTGTGCGTCTATCGCAATGGCGATGGACTGGACATTCGAGTGCTTCGACGTAGCGACCGCGTTCCTGTCTGGGCTGAAGCTGGAGCGGGAGCTGTGCGCGAGGGCTCCTAAGGACGGGCTTCCGGCCGTCGACGGCGCTGGATGGCCAGCTGTGCGGCCCTATGCGTTGCTTCGCTTGCTGAAGGGGGCGTGCGGTTTGACGGAGGCGCCTCGGTTGTGGTATCTCCGAGCCCGCCAGGTGCTGACGGACGAGGTCGGATTTGTGGAGCTGCGCTGTGCTCGGGCCGTCTTCGTTTACCGGGTGGCCGGCAAGTTGATTGCTATGTTGACGTTGCACGTCGACGACGGCATGCTGTTTGGGGACCCGCGCGACCCCCAGTACCAGAAGGTGAATGCGAATATCAACGAGCGCTTCAACATCAAGCACTGGAAGGAGGGCAATGACAAGGAGGCAGTCGCCTATCTCGGGGAGGAGTGGTGGCGCCTTCCCGACCACATCGAGGTCAGCATGCACGAGTGCATCAGCAAGCTGACGAAGCACCCCCTTGCAAAGGGGGAGGACGAGGAGCGGGAGATGACCCCAGAAGAGCACCGCGACTTCCGGAGCTTGCTCCACAAGGTGCGCTGGCCTGTCGCACGCGTGGTGCCACAGCTCGCATACAGCGCGTCGGCGCTCGCGCAGAAGGATCCGAAAGGTCGGCGGTTATTGCACCTGCGAGTGCTCAATGACATCATCGACCGCCTCCAGGATTACGACAAGAGAGGTCTTGCGACTCTCCGGGCCCACCGCGTGGACATCGAGCGCTTGCAGGTGCTCACGCTCATGGACGCTTCGTTCGCGAAGGAGCCCGGCTGTAAGAGCCAGATGGGGTCCATGAGCATGATTACGGACATGCGCGTGTTGAAGGAGTTAGCGGTGCGTTGTCTCGTGGAGTTCCAGAGCAGTACTATTGCACGAGTTGTTGGATCCACGATGGCCGCAGAGTCTGCAGCTATGTCCGTTGCTTTGGATCGGCAGCTCTACCTCAGGCTGCTTATCGAGGCCATCTTGTACGGGGAGCCGCCCTTGCAAGGGGACTGGAGGCTGGCGCTGAAGGTCCCGGGGGCGCTTGTGACGGATGCGAAGTCGCTCTACGATCACGCGTGCAAGATCGGTTCGATGCCGGTGTCTCGGCAGACCCTCATCGACCTGTCGGTGGCCAAGGACTTGATCGAGCAGGAGGCCATCAAGTTCAAGTGGCTGCCCAACAGCCACATGCTGGCGGACGTGCTGACGAAGGCCGTGCAGCCTAACGAGGTGCTGTTGCAGTTCCCCCGCCACGGAGTGTTCAGCATGGTGCCGACTGCCGAGCAGGAGGATGAGGAGGCGCACCGTCTGCGGCTGCGCCGCGGACAGCGTGAGAGAGCCAAGGAGCGGAAGGTCCAGCGCCGGGCCGCCGTTCCAGGGCCTGCGAGCCCATGAGGTCCTGTTGCAGCTGCTGCGGGGCCTGGTGGTGGCTACGGAGATGTGTACACGTACTTCGAGGTGACTGTCTGGATCAGTGAGTCTGGACATCCATATTTCATATTCTGAGCCTCAGGCCGCACTTGTGCTCGAGGTGCTCCGGCCTGCGAGCCGGAAGAGGCGGTGACGGCATGCGGCGTTTCACGCTTGTAGGAAGCGGCATCGGGGCAGCACTGTTCTCACCCAGCGTGAAGAGTGCAGCCTCTCTGCCCCTCTGCCGCCCCGTAGCGTCGTTACAGGCATGGATGCACGGATGGTACGTTCTGTGCATAGTTTGCTTGCTTGCGGCGCGCGCAGGCCGCCGCCGTTTGGCCCTAGTCCTAGGGCCCTGGGACTGCGCCGAGCAGACTGGCCGCCGCGCGGCCCGCGCGATAACATTCACATTCGCACAGCACCTCGTGGGCCATACAGCGCTGGTGCTCCGGCTCTGACTCCGTCTCCGAGTTCGGGCCCTTCAGCAGGGCAGCTGGGGCGTCTGCCCTGCTACGCCGTCCACGCTGGCAGCCCCTCTGGCCGCAGCGCTTGAGGGGCCCGCAGAGCCTGGCACAACCCTTCAACCCCACGGCTGCGCAGCCCCGCCCACACGACGCAGCAGCAGCTCCCACTGCTCGCCTGGCCCAGCAAGGCTTCGGCGCCGCCTCCACCAGTGCCTCCAAGTTGGCGTCCGTCTCCGCGGTCGCGTACCCGTGCGCGGGGGCATGCACGGCGTAGTTGCCGTCGTCCGTGCATGGCGTGTCCCTACACAGGTGGACCACCTTGTCCTGGGAGTCCTCCAGCAGGTCGCGCAGTCGCCGCGACGTGGTCGCGAGCACCTCGCGGTACGGCCACGCCACTCCTGCCTTCTTGTACTTGATCCCCGTAGTCAAAGGCGGCCTCTCCAGCCTCGCAGCCGTATCACCCACCTTAATGATCAGGTGATGTGGCACCTTGTCGGGCCCCTTCGCGCGGAGCTGGGCGTAGAACTCGTTTTCCACGGCGATGGCGGTGGCCGGCCCTCGCAGCTCTGGTACCACTCCTTCCTCGGTGGATGCAACCTGTGGCTTCGCCTTTGGACAACACAGTCCCAGCGCCCGCCCCAAGCACCGGAGTGGGGAGCAGATCAGCAAGTCGATTGCCGAAGCGACGGAGTGGAGACCGTACCCCAAGCCGATGACGAGCGCCACGATCAACCCTGCGAATGTTGTCCAGCACAGCACGGGCCACCCGGTGCCGAAGGCCGCGTAGCCCACCGTGTTGAGCCCATTCCCGACCAGCCCGCCCCCGCTCCACATCAAGTCTGTGATCCAGCCCCCGAGCCAGCTCACTCCGAACTTAACGCCCCCGAAGCTGAGCCAGCCTCGCATCTCTTCCTCCTCCTCTTCCTGGTCACCAGCTTCCCCGGGACTCTGCCGCGTCGGGGGGTCCCGTCGACGGCCTGCGAACCAGCTCCACATCTCGCCTTCACGCCGACGCGAGCTCTCCTCACCTCCTCCGCCCGCCGGCGACGGTGAGGCCTCCAGGGGCGGCGGGGCCGATGCCGATGCCGTCGGGGGCTGCTGGCGCCCCTTGCCTCCCGAGGGCGAGCTCGCCGCCGGCCCCGGGGGGAATCCCCGCCCCTTCCCGGCGGCGGGCGCTGGCGCAGCTGGGGGGGCGGCTCGGCGTTGCGGCACGTCTGTGGCCGCCGCCGTGCTGCGGCGCCGCTGGTCGTCCTCCAGCGCCCGCAGCAGAGGCGCGTACGCCCCTCCACTGGCTGTCTCCATCTCGGCTGGCAGCGAAGCGCCTGTGCCGCGGGCCGCTGACGGCAAGGCAGGCGTCGCGGGCTGCCCTCGCCATCGGCGGCCGATCTCCGCCGCGGCCACCGCCCCGATGATCATGGGCAACAGGGCCATCATGCGGGGGCAAGCCCACCTCTGGGCAATTCCTCCTGCCTGCGACCGCCTCCGCCGGCCTGCCACGGCAGGCGACTGTGCTCCTCGCTGCATGGCACTCGAACCCTGTGCGGCCCTGGGCCGCAGGGCGGGCCGCGCCCCCCGCGCGGGCCGCCCCCTCAAGGGCCCGAGAAGAAGCTTGAGCCCCACAAGGGCCGCAGAGAGGGGAAGGGGACAGAGGACAGAGGAGGACCCCTTCCCCTCACCAGGCACTTGCTCACTGAAACCTTACGTTCTACGCACGCTCGAACTCTTAGGAATCCCCAGGAATCCCTAGGAATCAGGATTCCTAAGGTTCCCTGAGGATTCCTATGGATTCCTAAGGATGCCTAAGGATGCATTAGGAATCCCTAGGAATCCTTAGGATTTCATTGGATCCTAAGGCCGTCCCGCACGCAAGCTGGGGAGCAGGGTACTGACGGTCACCAAAATTGCGAATGCGACTGCGAGAACAGCAGAATTCTACAACTAGATTCTCACCTGAATCTTAAGGGGAATGCTTCCATATATGCTTATACACATCGCTGTTAGGTTGCTTTGCCGGGATCATTTTTGAATCTGGAGGTGCGCCCTGTGTTACCTCCTCTCCGTATTTCGAGGCATGGTTTCTGTCGTGCTGCAGCGAAAGATCGATGAACTGGTCCCGAATGCTTTCGAGTCGAATCGAATCCTCCTCCTCCGCCTCCTCCTCTTCCTCCTCCTCGTCCCCCTCCTCCTCTTCCCCCTCATCACTCCTCCTCGTCCGATATTATCCTCGTCCTGGCTTCGTCTTACGTTTGTCATGCCACCGTTCGTACATGTCACCGTTCGTGGTATCGCCACCTCAGCGGCCACTGGGCCCAGGTACCGCCAGAAGTTCACGCTGAACTACAGGGCCGACCCGGGGGGGTGGCGGGCAACTCTCGGGCAGCGGGGGGGGGTGCAGCGCAGAGAGCCGAAGAAGAAGAAGAATAACAAGAAAAAACGCCATAAACATAACTTTCGGCTCTCCGCGCGGATCCAAGAATTCCGCGCAAAGCGCCAAAAGTTTTTGTTTATGCCTTCGTTTCTTTGCCTTCTGTGGGGGTAAGAGAGAGAAAGAGAGAGAGAGAGAGAGAGAGAGAAATATCTTGCTGACCAGAGTCGAAGAGTGGCAAGGATAATCAGCGATATTATGATATGCAGCTGGCAAGGGTATTGCCAACAGTGATAAGCGACGTATGGGAAGGAACCGACCGAACAATGGCTGGCACTTTTCGAGACGTAATCGCATTGCGTTGGAGTGCGTGTCGAACGATCAAGAGACGAGTACGAGTGTGGAACAGCCATGACGAAAAAACTATGGGTACCATGGGCAGGGGTTGGTTGCGGTCGTCAATGAGCATCAGGGGGGGGTGTTCTGTTTGGAGCGTGGGGCGTGAGGGGGCGCATGGAGTGGCAGTGTGAGCAGAGTGCGTAGCAGAAAGCAAGTCCCGAGCTCCGAAACGCGGCGTTCTCCCACCCGAACACCACGACGGCACCAGGCAGCAGAGGCGGTGAGGAAGAGGTGGGAGGACGACGACAAAAACGATGGATGATGATCAAGACGATGATGAGGGAGAGCAGGAAGGCCAGAACGATGAGGAGGGGGAGAAGGAGAAGGAGCAGCAGGAGAGCGCGGCGGTCGAGCCATGGTCCTGGGAATTTGGACACTGTAAATCGGGATCGGTACGATCGAAGTGGATACGGAAGAAGTGGGTACGAAGACCGACAGCAGTTCGTCTTCAGTTTGAACCAGATGGGCTGTCGGTGCCACGTCGGGCCTCGTCCATCTGAGACAGAAGGCCGCCTGTCCAACAGCGGCCGCTGGACAACATTTCTTGTGGGGCATCCTGCTCATTTTTGCCGTACCCGTTTCGGGCGTCCAGACCTCATTTTGCCAGATCCGGCGCGAGAAAACGAAGATTGGAGAATGTCCTGATTTTGGCGCCGCGACACGCTCGTGCTGTGTATTTTTGGCTCGATTTCGGTATCGCCCCGGGCGCCGGGGCACACATTACGGCGCGTGTCTTTCCAAGCCGATGTCGCAACCCCGTGGCCCTCGCGGATCGATCAGGGCCCGAGAGGCTCAAGCAATGGCGACGCGTCTTGGCTTGCCAATAGGCCCACCCAAGAATGTTCTAGATGGTGTCCATTTCTAAGACCATTGTTTTTGTTCTTAGAACATCTGGGGGTTCTGAGAACATGTCGTGGTAGACCTCTAGGAGCGCCGGGACGGTCGGTCCCTGCTCAAGAGGTGCCGCGGACGAAGATGGGGTCGAGGGCTTTCTGGTCGCGCTCTTCCGTCAGTGATTTTTCAAGGCGCCGGGCCACAGCCGAAGTTGTCTCCCCAGACCCCCGACGTCGTGACTTCTCCATGGCGTGACCCCCAGAAGTCCGGGCCCCTTCCCGGGGACGGGTTTTTCATCTTGAATCGTTCTTGACGGTCCCGAGGCCCAGGAAGGGCTCCCAGAGCTCAAAAATATCGAGAAACCTCCCGTCGTGATTTTGTGTTCGCAACGCGAGGGGGTCTGGGTCGGGTACGCCAGCGTCCTTGTGTGTTTCCTGTCTTCTTTTCCTACGGGGACCCGAGCAAGGGGAGTGCTCGCCCTGAAGGACGCGGGGCGCTCCCCAAGGCTTAGAGTTGAGGATCGCCTACAAAATTGACTTGCCCGGAAATTGATGTTATCGTCGAGTCATACGTGGGGTTTTCGTAGATCTACGAACCTTACACGCACTCTTAAGTCGACGCACAAATCAATTCTGGGGTACATCGACTCTGTAGTCGATCCCCTGCTCGAAGGCTGGCTCTACCCCCCCTACTCGAAGGGGGGAGGAAGGAAGGGAGGGAGGGGAAGAGGAGGCTCAAGAGCCTCTCCCCCCAGAGGCAGCCAAGACGCTTCAAGAGGCTTCCGGGACTGCCAAGAGACGCCCAGGACGCCCCAAGAAACGACCAAGACCCAGAGGGCCCTTAGAGGCGATTTTTTGGGTCCCATAGGAGGGAGCTCAAATCCCACCAGCCCTTTAGGGCGTGTTTGGTTTTGATACCTCCCTCTTCTAACCTCCTTCTTCTTCGGTACCCCCCCCCTTGACCTGGACAGGGCCTTTCGCGAGCGGTCAGAGCATCTTAGATGGCCCAAGACGGCTCCAAGAAGGCCCCAAAGAGCTAAAGATGGCCTCCAAGATCGCTGAAGATAGCCCAGCGTGGCCAATGATAGCTTGCAACAGACCTCCAAGAGGCTTCAAGATCCCTCTAAGACGGCTCTAAGTGTCCAAAGGGCCTCCCAAGGACGCACTGGAGAGGCCAACAACCGTCCAAAACTTAATAGAAATCAATGCTTTTGTTTGCCTTCTCGCCTTTACGCTTCCGACGGGCTTCTGAAGCCTCGAGATAGCTCCGGGATGGACCCAGGGATCCCCAAGAGGGGTCCAAGAGAGGCCCGAGATGGCCCCAAGAGCGCCCAAGACCGCCCCAAGAGCGTTCCGAGAGAGCTCCAAGAGGCGATTTTGGGGGTTCCGACAGGGGTGTCCAAATCGACGCCGCCTTCTTTGTTGGTCGATGGCCTCCAAGATGGCCCAAGAGAGGCCCAAGAGGGGCCACAGATTGCCCCAAGATGGCTTCAAGAGCGCCCCGAGAGGCCTCCAAGAGGCCGAAACCTTTCTAAAACTTTGATTCGCCGGCCCAACAGGCCAGAGGCGTGCTAAAATCTCCGGTAACTGGTAAACAATATTTCTAGTTCGCGCGCGCTGGCCGGCCCCTGGAAGTCCCCGGACGATAAAACCCCGGCAAGGTCCGCCCAAGGATGCCGGAACTCCCCGGCGCGGTTTTCTGGACCCCCAGAGCGCTCCAAGACGTCCTCGAGAGGGCCATAAGATGGTCCAAGAGGGCTTCGAGTCGCCGAGCGATCGGTCCACTCCTCCCCCGCTCCCCCCTCCAGCGAGGAGGGCTTCAGACCCTCCCTGAACCTCCCCAAACCGCTCTCGCCTCGCACGCGGCATCCAAAGCTGAAGCAAGAACGGCAAAGCTGCACTGCAAACAAAACTAACACGCAAAAAAGAATTGCAGCGCAAACCAAAAAAACAAATTTTAATTCGGATCATGGTCGTTGGCGCTGTGGGCTTCAGACCCTCCCTGGACCTCCCCAAACCGCTCTCGCCGCGCACGCGGCATCCAAAGCTGAAGCTGGAATGGCAAAACTGCAATACAAAAAACACGTGTGATGAACAACACATTGCAATGCAAACCTATTTGTAATTCTGATCATGGTCGTTGGCGCCGTGGGCTTCAGACCCTCCCTGGACCTCCCCAAACCGCTCTCGCCTCGCACGCGGAATCCAAAGCTGAAACTAAAACGGCAAAGCTGCAATGCAAAAAACAAATGTGTTGAAAAACAAATTGCAATGCAAAACGCACTGTAATTATGATCATGGTCGTTGGCGCCGTAGGATTCAGATCCTCCCTGAACCTTCCCAAACCGCTCTCGCCTAGCACGCGTCATCCAAAGCTGAAGCTAGAACGGCAAAGCTGCAATGCAAGAAACAGGTGTGATGAAAAACAAACTGCAATGCAACGCAAACTGTAATTCTGATCACGGTCGTTGGCGCCGTGGACTTCAGACCCTCTCTGGACATCCCCAAACCGCTCTCGCCTCGCACGCGGCATCCAAAGCTGAAGCTGGAACGGCAAAGCTGCAATGCGACGAAATATCAACTTCAACAAACTTGCAATGCAACACAAACTGTAATTCTTATCATGGTCGTTGGCGCCGTGGGCTTCAGACCCTCCCTGGACCTCCCCAAACCGCTCTCGCCTCGCACGCGGCATCCAAAGCTGAAGTTGGAACGGCACATTTGCAATGCAAAAATCATTGCGATGAAAAACAAATTGCAATGCAAACCAAATTGCAATTTTGATCATGCTGGGTGGCGCCGTGGGCTTCAGACCCTCCCTGAACCTCCCCAAACCGCTCTCGCCTCGCACTCGGCGTCCAATGCTGAAGCTGGAACGGCGAAGCTGCGATGCAAAAACAAAAACTCAAATGCGATGAAAACACACATTGCAACGCAAAACACATTGTAATTTGGATCATGGTCGTTGGCGCCGTGGGCTTCAGACCCTCTCTGGACATCCCCAAACCGCGCTCGCCTCGCACGCGGCATCCAAAGCTGAAGCTGGAACGGCAAAGCTGCAATGCAAACAAAAAAAACAATTTGAATGCAAAACGCACTGTAATTCTGATCATGGTCGTTGGCGCCGTGGGCTTCAGGCCCTCCCTGGACCCCCCCCCCAAACCGTTCTCGCCTCGCACGCGGCATCCAAAGCTGAAGCTGGAACGGCGAAGCTGCAATGCAAAGCAACGCAATGCCAACAATTATTGCAAAGCAAACCAAACTGTAATTCTGATCATGGTCGTTGGCGCCGTGGACTTCAGACCCTCCCTGGACCCATCCAAACCGCTCTCGCCTCGCACGCGGCATCCAAAGCTGAAGCTGGAAGGGGGAAGCTGCAATGCAAAAGCAATTGCAATTCAAAAACATGTGCAATGCAACACAAACTGTAATTCTGATCATGGTCGTTGGCGCCGTGGGCTTCAGACCCTCCCTGGGCCTCCCCAAACCGCTCTCGCCTCGCACGCGGCATCTAAAGCTGAAGCTAGAACGGCAAAGCTGCGATGCAAAAACAGCTTGCGATGAAAAACAAATTGCAATGCAAACCGCATTGTAATTCTGATCATGGCCGTGGGTGCCATGGGCTTCAGACCCTCCGTGGACCTCCCCAAACCGCTCTCGCCTCGCACGCGGCATCCAAAGCTGAAGCTGGAACGGCAACGCTGCAATGCAAAAACACAGCGTGATTACAAACAACCTTCAATGCAAAACAAGCTGTAATTCGGATCATGGTCGTTGGCGCCGTGGGCTGCAGACCCTCCCTGGACCTCCCCAAACCGCTCTCGCCTCGCACGCGGCATCCAACGCCAATGCTGGAACGGCAAAGTTGCATTGCAAAGCCAATTGTAACGCAAACAAAAAATGCAATGCAAAACCAACTTGTAATTCTGATCATGGTCGTTGGCGCCGTGGGCTTCGGACCCTCCCTGGACCTCCCAAAACCGCTCTCGCCTCGCGCGCGGCGTCCAAAGCTGAAGCTGGAAGGGCAAAGCTGCAATGCAAAAAAACAAGTGTGGTGAACCACATATTGCAATGCAAACCAAACTGAAATTCTGATCATGGTCATTGGTGCCGTTGGCTTCAGACCATCCCTGGATCCCCCCAAACCGCTCTCGCCTCGCACGCGGCATCCAAAGCTGAAGCTGGCACGGCAAAGCTGCAACGCAACGAAACGATTGCAATGGAAAACAACTTGCAACGCACACCAAACTGTAATTCTGATCATGGTCGTTGGCGCCGTGGGCTTCAGACCCTCCCTGGACCTCCCTAAACCGCTCTCGCCGCGCACGCGGCATCCAAAGCTGAAGCTAGCACGGCAGAGCTGCAATGCAAAAAAACAAGTGTGGTGAAAAACAAATTGCAATGCAAACCAAACTGTAATTCTGATCATGGTCGTTGGCGCCGTGGGCTTCAGACCCTCCCTGGATTCCCCCAAACCGCTCTCGCCTAGCACGCGTCATCCAAAGCTGAAGCTAGAACGGCAAAGCTGCAATGCATCAAAACGATTGCAATGCAAAGAACATGTGCAATGCAACACAAACTGTAATTCTGATCATGGTCGTTGGCGCCGTGGGCTTCAGACCCTCCCTGGACCTCCCCAAACCGCTTTCGCCTCGCACGCGGCATCTAAAGCTGAAGCTAGAACGGCAAAGTTGCAATGGAAAACAACAGTTTTTTCTCGCCTCGCACTTGGAATCTAAAGTTGAAGCTTAAGCTCAAGCTTCAGCCTTTCGTTTTGATGTTTTGCGTCCCGCTGTGCGCTACAACGGCTAAGAACTTTATTGGAGGCCATCTTGGGGCCATTTTGGAGGGGAAGACCGATGGAGTTATAGATTCCCTGGCTTTCTGGGTGGCCGGCGGGCTGGGCCGAAGCCACAGTGGAAGGTTTTAAAGAACCAACAACCACCAACATCTCAGCACGCCGTGCACCCGTGTGACAAGCCACAGGGGGCGGCGGATCAAATGGCGCCTCATGCGCCACTGCATTTTATTTTCGCATGACATCTTGAGACACCTCCGGGCACCCTCGCCACAAAAAAAACTTCCGGCCTATCCCGCCACCGTGCCTGGGTAGTGGGTCAAAGTCCTCATGGATGCTTCTCCAGGTCGCGCACGTGACACCTCAGGAGCTCCCAGAAATTCCCAGCAGCCGCTGGGAAAGTGGGGGCCCAGCCTTTGAACCTCCAGGAACGCTCTCTCCTCCACCTCTCAGAACAGCAGCAGCCTTGGGACACTCCACTGCGTGCTGAAGGCACGGTGGCGGGTACCACACAGCAAGTTGATATATGCATTACACCACATCGGCTGCACCACCGACGCTGCACCGTATCGATTGCAAGAAGTCGATGTCTGGGGTCCACGCTGGGTAAGATATGTCGGTGGCTAGCGAGTCTGGAAGTGCGGAGGAGAAGGCTTTCTCAGAAGCAGGCGGGGCTTCTCAGAAGTTCTCCAGCCTTCTGAGAAGTGTTCTTTGTCTTCGGGGAAGGCTCAGAGAATTGTTCAGAAGGCCAGGGGACTTCCGAGCCTGAGGCCTTCTCATCTCCCCCCCAGGCGTGCCGCCGAACATAGAGTACGCATATGGGCGATACACAAGAAGGTCGTTTGTGCCGACATTCGCGCGTAAGCTTCCCGCGTAAGGTCGCGCGTAAGCGCCCTCGTCTCCAATGCAGCGTGCCGCGCTGGCGGCCCGCGGAAGCCACTGCGCAAGTTCGCCAGGTCACCCTGCGTGAGACCCGGTTCTTTTCATCGCTTATGTAGCTATACCCGTCGGTCGTTGAAAGCATGTTGTTTTTGGACTCCCAGATCCCAGTTCACTTCAAGCGCCAACCTACTTCAAAAATCGATATGCTTTTGTTGTGTGTTGTCATTACCTGGGCGCGCCCGAACCCAACCTAATTTCTCCGCCTTCCTACTTCATGTTTTCGCTACAGTGGACCCGCATGGTAAGGATGGGCAACCTCCCCAAGGGTACCCTCGCATCCTTGCTCCTCGGTCCATCCTTGGCCACTTTCGTTGGCCGCGCTCCGCTCAGAAAGCTTCTGAATGGGCGTCCGAGGCCCTTGCATCCTTGTCGCGCATCCTTCTGATATGGGCCGACTGTATCCATCGGTCCTTGAAAGTAGGTACTTCTGGAGTCCCAGATTGCAATCTACTTGAAGCGCCTTCCTACTTCAATGATCGAGTGGCTTCTTCTCTCCCTTCCTCTTCAGCGGGCGGGCGGAGACCCCATCTACCTCCAACGCCTTCCTGCTTCATGGTTCTGCCTGCTTCTTCCGGCCGACGGGCACTTCGTCCGACCGACGTGTCTGCAGAGGACGCGCGCACGGCACGGCTCCATGAGCAGGGGCCGGGGCAGAGGCGCGCCCGGAGGCGGGCAGGGGCGCCGCCCCGCGGCGCAGTCGCAGTCGCGGGGCGGCCGCCGCGCGCGGCCAGGCCCTCTTCCCGGACCAGTCGCGGAACTACCGCGTGGACATTTTCGAGGCCCAGAGGGTTGTGATGTGCCAACCTGCTCTGGCCTGGATCACGAGACAGAATTTCGAGCCCCGAAAAAAGTGCCGAAGCTCAGCGGTTTTCGCGTGTCGGGCCCTGGGAGACACTCGTCCGACACTGTTTCGATGCTTTTTCGACACTTTTCTGGGCGCTCGAAATTATTTCTAGGATGTGGTCTTTGAGTACGACTGGAGCAACATAACCAGAGGGGCGATGGTTGTGGGGCCATGACTTGGGGGTGATGACCATCGAAGAGGAAACAGGGCCACAAACATGAAACTTTTGGCGCTCCGCGCGGACCTCACTCTCGGGGCCCAAGGCCCAGAATGATTGGGGGTGATGACTAGGGGCCATGGTATCACTCGAGGCTTCCCAGATGGGGTCCGAGTAAATGGGGTCGGACGATCGCAATGCATCGCCGATGCGGCGCGATGCGGAGCCCGATTTTCTCCGCGCCGATGGCACCGATGACTACCGAAGAAGAACGCCATGAACATAAACTTTTGGCGCTCCGCGCGGACCTCTTGAATCCGCGCTGGGCCACCTCAGGCGGCGCCTCCGGCGCCGCCCCTGGCGCGCTCTGCGCGTCAGGGAGGGGGGTCCAGCGCAGATCCAAAAGACCCGCGCGGAGCGCCAAAAGTTTATGTTTATGGCGTTTCGTTTTCTTTTACATTAGGGAGCGGGCCGTGATATCATGGAGGGGGTGATGACTGTGGGAGGGGGATGATTAGGGGGATATCATGGCAGGGGCCATCATACATCCCCAGAGTTCACGGCGCCTCTTCTTATTTCAATGCGTCCCCGGCCCCCCTCTGGGCCGCGCACATGCCGCCGGCCATGATGTGTGCCCCCCCCTCTTGGACGCCCCCCTCACGGCCGCCCCTGATACATCTCAAAAGAGGACAGCATACTCATACCGCTACCCTTCTCTGGTTTCCCCTCTTTGGGCTTCCTGGGAGGCCTCCGCTGGATTCGCTTCGAAATCTTCGTCAGAACGTGCCCCAGGGAGAAGTCCAGAGAGCAGCGGTATTGGCGCCTTTTGGTTTCCCCAACTCTACATCGATCGCCATGGTTCGGAACGAACGAAATTGGTACGGACAGAATGGGTACGAAGACGAACAGCAGTTCTTGTCTAGTTTGAGCAGGGCTTGCTGTCGGCGTCGCCGCAGATGTTGTCCCTTTGAGACAGAAGGCCGCTTGCCCAACTGCGGCTGCTGTCGGTTTTCTGTACCCATGTCGGGCCATGGGGGAAACGGGTTCTCAGGGACATGGTTCTTTGGTTTTTTTACAGTTCTCACGCTCTCGGGGCCCTCCGCGGGCCCCAGGACCGTCAGGGAGTCGATTTGGGACGGAGAAGTGGTCCTGGGAGACGGCCACGGCGGCCAAGGACCCGCTTCCACCATAAGACATAGACGACGACGACGGACGACGACGACAACGACGACGGTGGTCGACGACGACGACGACCGACGACGATGACGACGACGACGACGAGGGCGCCGACGAAGACGACGACGGCGGTCGCCGACGACGACGACGACGACGGCGCCTACGACGACGACGACGACGACGACGGCGCCGACGACGTTGACAACGACAACGACGACGACCGACGACGACGACGGCACTCGACCAGGACGTTGGCGACGGCACCGGCGGCGACGACGACGGCGGTCGCCGACGACGACAGCAACGACGACGACGACCGACGACGATGACGACAACGACGACGCTGACGGCGCCGACGACGACGACGACGACGGCCGACGACGATGACGCCAGCGCCTACGACGTCGGTCGACGACGACGACGTTGACGACGACGACGACGACCGACGACGACGACGACGACGGTGCCGACGACGATGGCAGACGACGACGACGACGACGACGGCGGTCGACGTCGACGACGACCGACGGCGACGACGATGACGACAACGACGACGACGACGGCGGCGGCCGACGACGACGACGACGACGACGGCGCAGACGACGACGACCATGACGGTGGACGACGACCGACGACGACGATGACGACGACGGGGCCGACGACGATGACGACGACGACGACGACTACGACGTCGACATCGACGATGGACCACGCCCACGACGACGACGACGACGACGGGCGACGGTGCCGACGACGACGACGACGACGGCGGTCGACGACGACGACGACGACGGCGGTCAACGTCGACAAGGTCGACGACGACGACGACGATGGCCGCCGACAACATTAACGACGACGACCACGACAATCACGTTCACGGCGGTCGACGACGACGACGACGGCGGCCGACGACAACGACGATAACGACGACGACGACGACGACGACGGCGGTCGACGACGACGACGACGACGACGGCAGTTGACGACGACGACGTCGACGACGACCGAGGACGACGACGACGCCGACGACGACGACGACGACGGCCGACGACGACGGCCGGCGACGACGACCGACGACGACGACGACGACGACGTCGACGACGACGACGACGACGACGACGACGACGACGACGGCGACGGCGACGACGACGACCGACCGACGACGACGACGGCGGTCGACGACGACGATGACGACGACGGCGTCCGACGACGGGGACGACGACAGCTGTCGACGACGACGACGGCGACGACGACTACGACGACGACCGCGGTCGACGACGACGACGATGACGACGACGGCGCCGACGACGACGACGACGACGACGGCGACGTCGACGACGAGGACGACGACAGCTTTCGACGACGACGACGGCGACGACGACGAACACGACGGCCACGACGACGACTGCGGTCGACGACGGCGGTCGACGACGACGATGGCGACCGATGACGACGACGACGACGACGACGACGACGACGGCGCCGCGACAATGACGACGACGACGGCCGACGACGCCGACGTTGACGACGACGACGACCACGACGACGACGACTACGACGACGACAGCCGACCACGACGACGACGGCGACGACGGCAGTCGACGACGACGACGACCGACCGCGACCACGATGACGACAACGACGACGACGACGGCGCCGACGACGTTGACGACGACGACGACGACCACAGCGACGACGGCAACGACCGACTACTACGACGACGACGATGACCGAAAACGACGACGACGACGACGACGACGACAACGACGACGACGACGACGACGACGGCGCCGACGAGGACGAACGACAAATGACGAACGACGACGACGGCGGTCGACGACGACGACAACGACGTGACGACGACGTGGCCGACGGCGACGACACAGCGAGGACGACGACGACGACGACGACCGACCACTACGACGACGACGATGACCGAAAACGACGACGACGACAACGACGACGACGACGACGACGGCGCCGACGAGGACGAACGACAAATGACGAACGACGACGACGGCGGTCGACGACGACGACAACGACGTGACGACGACGTGGCTTACGACGACGACGACGACGACCGACGACGACGACGACGTCGACGGCCGACGACGACGACGACGGCCGACGACGACGACGACGACGACCACGGCCGACGACGACGAGGACGACGACGACGACCGCGGCGCCGACGACGACGACGTTGACGACGGCCGACGACGACGATGACGACGACGACTGCGCCTACGACTGAGATGACGACGACGACCACGACGACGACGACGACCACGACGACGACGACTATGACGACGAACGGCGAACGACGACGACGATGCCGTCGACGGTGGCGACGATGGACCACGGCAACGACGGTGCCGACGAAGACGTCGACGACTACGGCCGACGACGGCGGCGACGCCGCCGTCGACGTTGACGACGAAGGGGACGACGACGACGACGACGACGACGACGACGGCGGCGGCGACGACGACGAGGACGGCCGAAGACGACCACGGCGCCGACGGCGTTGACGACGACGACACGACGGCGACGACGACGACGGCGCCCACGACGACGACGACGGCGGTCGACGACGACGGCGGCGCCGATAACGTCGACGACGACGACGACCACGACGACGACGACGACGAGGACGAACGCCGACGACGACGACGGCGACGACGACGAAGACGACGACGACGGAGACGGAGACGGACGACGGCGACGACGGCGCCGACGCTTACGACGACGACGACGACGACGGCGCCCACGACGACGAAGGTGGTCGACGACGACGACGGCGACGACGAGGACGCCGACGACCACGACGACGACGACGACGACGGCCGACGACGACGACGACGGCGGTGCCGACGACGTTGACGACTACCACGATGGCCGACGACGACGACGTGTCCGACGACGACGACGACGGCGCCGACGGCGTCGACGACGATTACGACGACGATCGCGAGGACCACGACGAGCACGATCACGACGACGACGGCGACGAGCGTTGAACCACGAACGACGACGACGACGACGACGAAGACGGCGGACGACGGCGACGACGGGGCCGACGTCGACAAGGCGCACCGTCGGCTCCGGCCTGCGCTGATCCCTGCGGGCGCCTCCACAGGTCCTGCGCCCGTGGGCGTCGTGCTCGGGGGCGTCGTGCTCGTGGGCGTCCTCCTGCTCGTCCTCCTCGTCCTCGTCCTGTCCTCCTCCTCGCCCCCCTCCTCCTCCTCGTCCTCCTCCGCGTCCTCCTCCTCCTCCTCCTCCTCCTCCTCCTCCTCCTCCTCCTCCTCCTCCTCCTCCCCCTCCAATTCCTCCTCCCCCTTTTCCTCCTCCTCCGCCTCCTCGGTGCGGACGAGGTACCATGATCGTTGCCATGGGGGCAACATGAAATCACCAGAGGAGGAGGAGGAGGAGGAGAAGGAAGAGGAGATTCTGTAGCGAGTCACCGATCCCAGTCCCCTTCCCGTCCCATCCGGATGACGCACCATCCCACCACGCCAGCTGGGGATGTGCCCCTCGAATCTATCTCAAGCCAGGGGGATAAAGGAGGAGGAGGAGGAAAAGGAAAAGGAGGAGGAGGAGGA